ATTTAACCTGAATCAGGTGTGTTGAAACAGGGAAACGTCTAAAACCTGCAGGACGAAAAGAAGAAACGGATATCTTTGTAAGCTGCTGTTGGGCTTCTTATTTGGACACTATGGAGCATGTAAACACGCTTCTGTGTGGTTCGACTGCTGCCCTGTGGTCCCTCTGGTGGTATCCCTCGACCTAAACGAGAAGCAGCCCTGCTGTGACAGCAGGAGTTAAATGTAATGCTGCCAATGAAGAAAAAGTGCATCAGCAGCCACTGTTCTCTTTCTCTCAAGAGACATTCCTTCATTTTACAGTGGCTGTAGATACATGTTTGTCTCTAGCCGAAATAAGGATCTTTGATTATTTGATTGGAATTGTTTTTTTTTCCCGTGCTTGAAGCCATCTCCTGCTGGCTCAGTTAGACTCAGCTTCCATGTAACCAACAGAACTCCACAAACACATTTTGCCCAGGACTTACTGACCCTTTTACACAGCTGTTCAGCCAGCTGAGCGTTGGTGTTTCCTCAACTGACAGTTGGAAAATATTTTCGATGGCAACCCTCTCTCTCACAGTAGAACGTACAGTGGGACATAACTGTTTCTTGATGGATATCAACTCATAAATTAGATGATGACAGCAGGTACTGAAGAAGTCGGAGCGGGCTGTGTTCACCACTGTGTGTAACACAGATCTGTAAACAGCTAACACTGACATGAGACCTCTCAACAAACCTTAGTCTCTTTTGTTTTTGGTGTTTGAAATATTGTCCAATGATTTGGATTGGGAAAAGACCTGGACAACAAGTATGTCAGTCCATTACCCAAACTTCTCCTTAACAAAGCCGTGTAGTACTAATGTAACAACAAGACGCTTTAAAAGCTCCCTGTGAATGGAAACCATGATTTCATAGATCCCTAATTTATTTATCAGTTCAATGGAATACCAGTATAGTAAAAGTTCAGTAAATTTAAAAGGTGGTTGAAGCTGCACTGTAGTGGGAGTAAACGCCTGCTGGCGCTCTGCCCTACACTGAGGAAGTAGCTTTTTCTTTCCTCTTCCTTCACAGACAGAAGCAACACCACAGAACCGGCAGACCGTTGTGTGCTGTTTTCCGCTCCTCTGTCTCTGTGGCAGTAATCTCTAATGTAAAAAAATTCAGTTGTGGCTCTGCAAACCTCTGACATCGCCCCACAATCTGGATCAAAAGCTGTGCTCATAAAGTAAGAGCCAGCCTGAACTAATCACATTCAGCCATATCAAGCGGAGGAGTCCTATAAATAACACGAGCTGCTCGCCACTGTCTAATGCTGCACTTGTTTCCGCTGAACCTATGACCCACTCAAAGATTCAAACACACACAACAGCACCTCCTGTGATTGCACTGAATGCCTGTGCGATTGTGTTAAATGTCCCCGTCTATTCTGTGCCTTCCAGATGTTCCACAATAATGAGGAGCTTTTAACAGCTCAGTGAGGTTGGCGAGGCATAAATTGGAACGAGCGTTTCACAATAAAAGGAGAAACGGCTAAGAAAACTCTTCTGAAACCGACCACACGCTTCTGGCATCGGTAATCTGCAGAGCATGAAATGAATAATAATTATTTTAATTTTGAATGCTAACCCTAAACTCCACGAATGTAATAACTGAGCTGGACCTTGTGTGTGCGCGTGTTTTTTAAATTGTTTTGAGGATGTTTTTAGTGCCAATTCAACCATAATCTCTATGGCAACGGCGTTGACCCAGGAGCCACTTAAGTTGCAGTGAGAGGGCCCTAAGAGGGAAGTGGTTTCCTGGTCAGAGGAGAAAGAATAAAGTGAGAATCTATGACTGGGCTGCCCTCTGGACTATTTCATTAACTGTTTCACAGAGCTAGCCACAGAGTTCTTTGCCCGGCTGCTCAGTCACATGGCCACTACTCGCACATTCCCACACATTTTTGTAAAGTTTCTGAACAAAGACAGATGCTATCGGCGTAAAGTCACTCCATCTTTTTAACCGTCTCACTGGTATCAGGCTAAGCATGTACATGCGTTATTATATTTTGCTTAAAGAAGTAGGCTAAGAAGGAACATCCCTGCAGAGAGCTTAACTTGTCTTGAATCTTAGTAGCATGTCTTGAATTTTCCAAGTTTCGGAAGTCACAAGCTCCTGATGGACTAAAGCTGGGTGAGTGTAGTCTGCCATCGTTGGCACAACATGTAGGTCAGTGGATAAGCCTATCTCTGTTGTTGGCTGTGTGGTTCTCATTAGTGTGCTGCCTTCCAGATTACTCCTGGGGTTTGCTGTAGATGGCAAGCATGAGATCGCCAGTTATCTAGCTATTTTCTTCTTAATTTCCCATGTAAGAAAACTCTCCTGTGGTCACATTTTTTTAGACGGCAACACCACAAACAATGGTTATAGAAAACATGTGGCAGGTACATAAAACTCTGCTTTAATAGAATCTTACTTATGCGTTTCGAGCATTTCATTTCTGGAATTCAGAAGCTTTTTTTTTCTTGCTTTTTTTGTAGAATCCCTGATAAATCTGTAGGATTGCTACATTGTCTAGGGACCTCTGCCTCCAATCTGGAACAATTTAGCTGATGACAGGCTTTAGGGCTTATGGCCTTTGTAACCAGTAGATATCTGGGCTAAAATTGCTCTCAAAGAGAACTTAATTATTTGATCAGCCAATGTGTTTATATCATCTTTACTGACTCCAGATTTTGGAATGACTCAGATGTTTTGGGTTGATATTTGTTCATCTTGGGTATTCTACACATTGCACCATGTCTGTTGTGGAACTTTGTTGTAATTACAGTCGCATAATGACTAGCTTATACCTCCATATAGGGCTGACTATGTCAGTCATGTGAAAACTAAGAAACTCAGACCCACACGCACTTTTTGTTTTGGAGAAAAATGACAAAACTAATTCTATTCACCGACTAGTACCTCATCTCAAAACCAAATGCCAGAAACTAGCGTTGACATCAGTTTTGAGCTTCCTTTCTTCATCTTTCCTTGTTATCACTCAAGGTGTGCCAATGTTGGTGTTCTGCAAGGAAAGACCATTATCCAGATGTTCAACATGTCCATTCTTATCAAGGATGTGACACTACAGCGTTCCTGTTAGTTCTAAAGACGACATCCATTACTTTTCACAACTCTTCTCACGACAGCTTCTCTTTTTTCTTGGTCATAACTTTTCTTGCGCACCTCATGACAACCCGCAACTACCCGTTTTCCGCGTTAAATGTTGCGCTCCTTTCAGTCCTCCCCCTCCTCCTGCGTCATCCATACCCTGAGCTCTCGTCGCTCTGGGTGAATGAAGCCAAGTTCTCTGCCAAACCCTGTGGTGATGGACCCGAGTATTTATACACGAGCTGTCTGCATCCATAGCATTAGAAGCAGAGATTATGTGGGAGGCTGACAGCCTCTTTGGTTATGCATACGTCATGAGTGTGGGAGTGTGCGTACATGCACCTATTATAAATTAGTTGGAGATGGAGGAAGTGCTGACTTCGTTTAGAAAGGTTTTGACAGATTTTGAAGGGTTTTTCTGGAAAAACTTATATAATCAAGATTTCTTTTTCTTTCCCCATCAACATGTCAAATGCTTTGGACGGGAAATAGATTAAGAAGATTACATCAAAATAGATTCTCCTTTATGCTGTCCTGGGCATTTACTCCCAAAAGTTGTAAAAACTTCAGAGAATTTTTTCCCCCAAAGTTTCTGACCTACATGTACTTTCAAATTAGGCTGTTGCGATGTTACAGCTCGGCTCGAGAGTGGGCACACAGCGGCTGGAGTATGCTGAGATTATGTGCTGTGGCAGCCCTCAGATTAAGAGAACGGAAAGGAAAAGTCACATTTTCTACATGCTCCAGCGAACAAAGCCTCTGTTGACCTGAGAACATTCCACAGTGTTTACTGTACTCTGTCTTGAACCAAGTCTCAAGCTATAAAAACATAGATACGTGCATCATTTTTCTGCAATAGACATATAGCTGAAAAGATTTCCTGGCCTGCAAATCACTTCATGAGTTTGTTGTACAAAAAAATCTTGATTCTCCTCATAGCAATGGGAACCAAAAAAAGACATTTTCTGTCTTGATATTTTATGAAAAATTGGCACAGGAATTATATTTTTGTTCGTTTTTAATTAGCTGAATAGCGATTCATTGTCACTGATGTGTGTCTTTAATATGCAAATCTGATTGCATATTAAAGACACAATAAAACTGATTCAGCTCAAATCTGCTTTGAGAGGTCCTTCAGCTGAAGTACCACCGAGCTATTGTGCGGCCCCAAATAGAGGGGGGAACACGGCAATGTCCTTCAGACAAGATGCTAAATTTCATACATATTTCTAAATTGTGCAGCCTAAAGATAAGAATTGCCATTTAAAAAAACTAAAGCAAAAAACGTTCCAAGTACTTGTCCCAGCTTGTGTATTTCCCTGCTTACCTGAACTAATGTTCCGATAGGAAGTGCACAACAGCACTGTTGAATGGGATAAGAAGGGCAAGCCTCCTACGGCTTTCCAGGAAACGTATGTTTACGAGATATCAACCATCCTTACAAAACGAGTTTCTACAAGAGTAAACACTGAAAGTAGTCCCATGGCTATTCCGCAGGACCCTGGAGAAGCTCCATTACAATTGCGGAAAAGCATTCTGCTTGTTTTTCTATGATAGGTGGCTCAGTGTTTTCAGTCTGATTATGCGCACTACATATCGCGCTGTTTTCAACCTTCATAAGTTACTCCAAAGAATATAGCAAATTTGCAGAGAAAATCTGGAAATCCTGCTCAGAACTGTTTAATGAGCTGCTCTTTTCAAGTTCAATCGTAGCTCATCGTTGTGTCCTACTCCTAGCTCGCCTCTTTTGCTTATTGTTGCCTGGGCAATAACAAACTAATGGAGTTTTCTTCTTCCTCGTGTCCATCATCTGATGGAGCTCAAATGTAAGTGTTAAAGCTCATGCGTCTTTTAATGATCTCTGTTTGTTTTGTTTTTTCCTCTGTAGTGCCTGAGGATGTCCAAGCGGAGCCTGTTTGTTCGCCTGGTGCCGTGCCGCTGCTTGCGGGGCGAGGAGGAGACGGTAACATTGCTGGACTACTCCCACTGCAGCCTGGAGACTGTTCCTAAGGAGATCTTTAGCTTTGAGAAGACCTTGCAGGAACTTTACCTCGATGCCAACCAGATTGAGGAACTGCCCAAAGTAAGACAGGCGTTGGGATGTATAGAATCATTTTTGTAATAATTCAATGCTCAAAGCTTTGAGGCTTTTAGCTGGTAGGGATCCTGTCAGAATAATTTATTTAGCTTGTTTAGGTAATTATAGACAAATGAAACATTATCAGCAAATTATACATTGGTTTATTGTTTAATATCCAGCTGGGATGTGCTTTCAGGGGTGATACTCTGTTGGCCTTCTACCCAAACAACATTTGCACAAGTTCTCTTAGACATTGCAAGTCTGTTGATTTTAGCAATATTCTTCCAGGAGCAGTTCATTTTATTACAAACAGGACCTTTGATCATCAAATAGTCGGTTGCATGTAATGGGTAAGCCATGAAGGCCTGCACACAAACCTACTGTTCTTTTCTCCTTCACCAGCAACTGTTTAACTGCCAGTTACTCCACCGACTGAGCATGCCTGATAATGACCTCACCGTGTTGCCGTCAGCAATCTCAAACCTCATCAGTCTCAGGGAGCTTGACATCAGCAAAAACAGTAAGCAAAACAACTTACCGTTTGTTTCTTTCATTCATCTTCCCTTTTTCTTTTTCTTTTTTTGTAATATCACGGAGCCTGGGATGAGAGCTTAAATGGGCCATGTTGAACCACCGAATACTTTACCACCGACCACATTAGCCTGAAAAGTTTAAGCAGTTTGATCACCCATGTCATGACTACCTTTCATCCATTTAGAAATTGTAAAGTGCATCAGATTTTTGCCAAATGCTGCATTGCAGCATGACTTCGACCCTGATGTTGCTTCTCACCAATTGTGACAATATGCACTCGACTCGTCTGACACTTTGATGTTTAGCGATTGCTTTTAGCATGATAAGAGAGGTCTTTACCGGAAGGCCTCATAGATGTCGGTTATTTGATCAAACCGCTGTGCTGCTGTTTTAGTCAGATGTTCAGACTGTGATAATGCTTAGAAGTATGAACCCTTGTTATCACGAGCAAATGTGATCAAACCGGTGACAGTGCTGCTGTCAACCGTCTTGTTGGATGTGTTCCACAGAGTGTGGTTCAAACATGTTTAACTTCTTTAGAAAATGGGAGAAGTGTGCAGAAGCAGCTGAGATGAAGCAAATGTTTGAGGATCTTGATGTTTTTTCTTCTTCTTTTTCATTAAACTAGAGTGGCCCTTGCCATGTTTACATTAAAAGCAGCTTATCCTCCTGCACAAAGCACTTCAGCCAGAGTGTTGTAGTCACAAAACAAAGTGGAGGAAATAAACTTTCTTGTAGTTTAAACATTTTGAGAACTTGCAGACAATCTCCTTTTTTCCTTTCCTGCCCTTTTATTATGTCACAGTGAATGTTCCTCTGTGGTTCTATAGAGACGAATGCAAAGCCCCACTCTACTTTGAGTGCATATCGTCTTTATCTTTTTTATGTCTTCTCTGACAATCCAGTCCATTCACAGTTCAAATTTTGACACATTTAAACTTGCTTAGTGTTTGGAGATCATTTTTAGTTTACTCATGTACCTAATAATGTACCTAATAATCTTGGATGTCATGAAATAGCACTTTAGTTTCCTTTCAGATATTAATTACAAAATTTTGCAGCCGACTGGATTTGAACATGTGTTTTCATTGTATTTCTTTCTAGGCATCCAGGAGTTTCCAGAAAACATTAAAAACTGCAAAGTCTTGGCTATCATTGAAGCCAGCGTGAATCCCATGTCCAAGTGAGTATTCCCACTCTCCATCACAAAGCACAGCTCCTGAGCTGCCTATTCTGACACTGCAGTGGATTTTGAGAAGCTTTGTGTGAGTCATGTGAGTAATTTTATTTTTTTCCCCGTCTGTGTTGTCAGGCTCCCGGAGGGGTTCACACAGCTCCTTAGTCTGACACAGCTCTACCTGAACGATGGCTTTCTGGAGTTCTTACCAGCCAGCTTCGGCAGGTCAGTCTGTTCTGGGGTCTGTCCCAAAAAGCTCAAATGCAAATTGTCCAGTTTTGTTTTTGGCTGATTTTACCTGCATGTATTGACTGACCTGGAGCTACATTACATTACTGCGACACTTGTAGGAATTTTTAATGGAAGGAAAAAACTGATGTGGTTTGTTTTTTCAAATGTTTTACCACACAACCACATATAAGCGTTCTGTTTTACGTCTGAAAATTAGATGTTTCTAAATCAACACCTATATCAGAGCAGACTGCATTTTTTCAGACCGGTATCTGGTGTCAATTAGTCACAGAAAATTACCACAGTGCCAATGTAAGCTTTTACATGATGCGTTAAGACTCATACTTTCTGTAGTCACAGTACTTAACACGGCACGTCCTGGGATGTAACACTCACATTGCATGTGTTTAATTGTGTGTTCTGTAGTCTAAAACCATAAATATGTAAAACTGTTGAATTACATTACAAGTGCCTAATATTTGCCATCATTATAGCAACATTAGCGTTTCATTTTTATGGTACAAGTGCTGTTAAGTGGTCATGGCACTGCTGTGATGATATTTCTGGATGTTTCTAATGGAATAGGTATTGTTCCAATAACACTCCATAAAACCACCAGGATATTAAAGGTGATGTTGCTCCCTTGGATGAGATGAACCCATAAGAAATTGCTTTCAACCGTAATATCCACACTGAAAGCTGGGTGTGACACATAGAAATGTATTGATTATGATGTAAGAGCAGCTTTTGTCATCTTCACATCATAGTGTTGGTTAATGTGATGAAGTGTTTGGACATGGGTGACAAGCTTCTTCAGTTTTGTGCGGCCCTGTTCCCAACGGATCTATATTATTGGATCTTTCTACGTTTCTTTCTGAATAAGTGGGCTGGAAATTATATTGCTTTTTTAGTAAATGCACGGTTATTGTTTGTTTCGTCATCCTGATCCATGATGATTCGACGGAAGCATCAAACCTTTATGATTCATTGACATTTTTTAGTGATTGTGGTTCACCCAGTAGTTAGCATTGAGTGCTCTGCTTACATAAAACATTTGACATGAGTTGCCCCCACGGGTGAGAAACCCATATTGCTGTTCACTAAAATTGCCCTCTTTCTCAGTCTATATGACCATGCAGCTTTAGTCCTACATTAATACATGAGAGATGCATCACCGATTCATTTTTGTTTTCAAATTGTACACAAATTTATACGATTAGAAAGAATGTGAGATGATATGCTGCCAAAGTACAACGTCATGTATTTCAGATAAGGCTTTTCAAGGTTAAGAAAAACTTTGAAATCAACATTCCGTCTTGGCCTTGGACATTATTAATCTTTCCAGCTACTCCACTGACTTTCATCAGACAGTTGGCACAAAGTAAATATGTTTTCTTTCAATCTTGGTTACAGGTTGACAAAGCTACAGATCCTGGAGTTGAGGGAGAACCAGTTGAAGATTCTGCCAAAGTAGGTGGTTTCATATCATTTGCATTTTCATTTAAAAACAAAAGGGCAGTTTCACTGGGCAGCCTGTTTAGAATCTTTCCCCCTCTTGGCAACGCTGTGATATCTCTGCTGTAGCCTAGGTCCTTCCTCTTTGTCGTCACCACATTTCTAACTGTAGTATTAAATTCCACTGTTACATAAAGCTTTTCCCCCTCCCTTTTTTTTCTTGGCTGCTTGCTGAGACAGGTTTTATAATCTTCAGCTCACAGTGGTGAGGGTTGTTTCACCATTTGGAGGCTGAACATCCCACAAACAGAGAGGGTTCAGGTGCTTTTTGGCGGAAGTGACTTTCCTTTTTGTCTTTTCTGTCTTTCAGGCTTCAATTGCTGTATCAATTTACTCCCTTCCCGTTTTCCTTAGAAAAAACATTCTGTCCCACTTTCCTCTCAGTCCTTCCTCCCCTCTGGCTGGGCTTCCTTTTGTTTATCTTGCTCACTTTTTTCTCCCCTGACTGACAGCCCAGCCAGTGCTCAAAGTGCTGCGCAGTTGGTGCTGCAGCTCAGAGCGGATCTTCTTTTCTCAATATGTTTATGTGACAGAGGCCAGACCTGCTAAAGGCTGCAGCCCTGACAAAGAAAAGGACTGATGATCAGGACTGTTACCAGAGCAACACATAAGCATTTCAGAGATGTAAACAAATGTGTGCGTGCACAAAGGGGCGCTGCAGAGGTCTTTTCAGGGCTTCTGTATAGAAGGTGCAGCCTCTTTTTCTCTCTCTTCCTCTCACTGCACAGACACACCGACCACATGTAGAATCAAAACCTTTGTGCGTTTCTGAGAGGTTTGCTGTGTTCCTCACAACTTAAGGGTCAGAAGCCCAATAGAATTCACTTTTTAGATGAGCCAGTCTTGCATCTTTCAACTCGAATGTAAGTCTGTTGTCTTTGCCAGCTTTCGAGAAAGAAATTTGATAAAAGCTGGCAAGTGCTCCATTTCATCATGTGTTTTCATACATTTTTATTTGATGAATCTCTTGAAAACTGAACAAAGTCTACATTGGTGCAAGTGGGCCTCAGCTTTTAAACCTTAAAGGTGAATGGCATTCATATTTAAGAAACAGCAGCTCTGTGAACGGCCGCTAATGTCACATCATAGCTTTGGCTTTAGTGTAAAATCATTTTTAAGTCTTTGTTAGCTTTCAAGAGAGCTTTGGCTTTCAAGCTTTAGCATCCCAGAATATTTCTTGTTGAAATCCTGACTCCTGTACATTGTCTTTAGTAGCTCAGTCATAGTGGTATTTAGGAGCACTGCTCATTTCAGAGACTCCTGTTTTGTTGTAACAGTAATGAGCTGCCTCTGCTCTCCATTAAATACCTGCAGATCAATATTATGACTGATTTTGAATTGCTAATAATTGATCAGTTCCACAAAATGTGATTTGTGCCTTTGATACATAAAGTCAGAAGTGACTGTTCTGGTTTGTATCTGCTTGTTTACTGTAGAACCGGGAACATGAGCCTGTGACCTGAATGTGTAGAGGAAATTCTGGAGCAAGGCTTAGGGCAAGCAAACGTCACATTTTCCATTATTTAAAGCATAATTCTCCCAAGCCTGGGCTCTAAAAGATATTTATTTCCTCATAAACATTCTGTGGCAGGAGAAAAGCAAAAGCGTATGAGGTGTCCAAAAATATGCAAAATGTAGCATAATGGAAATTGATGGCCATTTGTAAGAAGTTTATTTTGGCTTGCATTTCTATGCACAGGGCTTGCATTGCTTTCATTATGAACTCAACAGGGATGCAGCTCATTATTTTATTGTGATTTGTCAATGTCAAACATGCAGTGTTCCAGCTGTTTAAGCCTCTAATACACCAATCTTTGATGCGGTTTCTCCCTTAATTCTGGTGGTTTGATTTGAGTTTTTTCTACTTGTGTGTCAACAGAAGCATGCAGAAGCTTACACAGCTGGAGAGGCTGGACCTGGGGAGTAATGAGTTCACTGAAGTGGTGAGTACAAGTCAGTTCGTCCATGCCCAGAGCGCTTCACCTCTCTGAGGTGGCCCCACGTCCTTCCTTCATAAATTTTCTTTCATCTTATCAAATGTAGAGTTCTCATTTATTTTCACCTGTTTGATGGTAATCTATTTGTCTTGTTGAATGAATAAATTACAGTATATCTGATTTTCAGATTTCTTGCACTCGCTTTCAAATATCTCTAACACTTGATCTGCTTCCTCTTGTTTGTATCTGTAGCCTGAAGCGTTGGAGCACCTGACTGGAATCAAAGAGCTGTGGATGGATGGGAACAGACTGACGTTCTTACCTGGGGTAAAATACACAGTACACTATACTCTCAGGGGACTTTTGTGTCCAAAAACATCATCTTGAGATAATTTCCCTTCATTTCTCAAAACTATGCGTCTTTCCAAATCTTCATCACGGTAAACTGCAGTCAGTTTACATCAGAGCTCTGGATCTCTGAAAACCAGCATAGGAGCAGCCTCAGTTCAAAAAAGATTGCAGACTTTTTGATTGCATGTGTCCTGAATGTAATCTGGAAAGAAAAGGGGAAAAAAAGACAAGCACAGTAAAAATTTATTGCGCAAGTTTCTTCTCATCCAAATGACCTGGTTGTTGTAACTGGGTCAGGGCATTAGTTCTGCTGCCAGCATTTTTACAGCATCAGCTGTAATCACAGACGGGATTTTTATGCGCAACCAAGTCTGTCGAGCATATAAAACCAAACTCATTGCTGTTACTGTTCTCCCTTATGTGAGAGGTGTGCTTTCAGTTTGAAAATATGCACAAGTGCACTTTCTGGTTTGGTATGCCTCTTCCTAAGAAATGACTCCACAGTTTGAGTCCTCTGCTGATGTAATTATCTGCCATTTCTCCTCAGTTCTCTGCAAAACTTTAAGAAGAATCACGTGTCATTTTTGCTGGCTTTTATCTTCACAGATGCTGGGAACGCTAAAGCAACTGATGTATCTGGATGTCTCAAAAAACAACTTGGAGATGGTGGATGAACAAATCTGTGGCTGTGAGAGTCTGCAGGACCTCCTGCTCTCCAACAACGCCCTCACACAGCTTCCTGGCTCTATCGGTACAGATTCCAGCTCACACAAACCAAAAACATTTGAGGGAGTACTGCCAGTTTTCTTTTTTTGTATATACACTATGGAAACATGGCAAAAGGTCATCAGTTTAGGATTATCCTTTTAGTTTGATATTTTGAAGGCTTATTGTCTAAAAAAAAGACAACAGCAACTCATTATATGATCTGTTATGTGTAATTCCATCTCTTCAAAAGCACATAACTATTTTTGTTCCCCCCCCCTTTTTATTTTCAAAAGCCAAATTATAGGCAGGGGTGCATATCTGACTCTTGTACTGCATTTGTATCTTAAACTACCAGAATTCTTTCCAAGTTAATTTATTAAAACATGATTTTACAAATGTGAAATGTATATTTGAATTAATATTCTTTCATTCACTGGCCACTGATAAGAGTAATTAAACTTACTGAGTTTAAGCACACGGCTGTGATTTATTGTTCCTAAACATATTACTGCATTGATGTCTGGACTAATGAATCTAAGTAACTGCTACAGTAGATATATCATCAGCATGACATGATCAATAACTCATCTGGACCATCGTAGTCATCTCTTACCCCATCTCTGTTTTCCTATCTTTAGGGTCCTTGAAGAAACTGACTGCTCTAAAAGTGGATGAAAACCAGCTGATGTATTTGCCAGACTCTATTGGAGGGTGAGCATTACAGCTTTAAATTCAGTAGAATAAACCCTGAGATCAGTGGATTATTGTTCTGTTTTTATCATCAGTCCCCAGATCACACATAATGTCTGTCTGGCTAAATCTGATATTCCCACTGAACATAATATTTTTCTGTTTTTTCACCCTTAATGCCAAAGCTGTTAAGCAACGCATTGGTGTTCATGGGTTGTGAAGACTGGATGACAATAACAGAATATACTGAACAGCATTTTTATTGAAAGCGCTCGCAGCATTGTAGAGGGCTGGTGGTAATCTTTCACCGGATGCTAAACTGATAGGCTCATAGAGCTGTGCTTTTTCCTCAGACTGATTTTTTGCCTGCAACAGACAGGTAAATCCAGCAGAAGACATCTGCTCAGTAGTGAGTAAGCCAGGGCCACATGTTGACCCTCAGTCTACTGCGAATCACTGTGGTCTAGCACAAAGATTAGGCTCCATTTAATCCGCCTGAGTGTTTTTTTTTGTTTTTGTTTTTTCTGTATTTTCCCCATCCTGCATCTGTGACAGACAAATCTACATCGAATGACAAATAGAACTGCATCTGTACAGTCTTGATAGTTATTTATTGTTTCCAAACACTGGTTATCCCTTATGTCGGAATATGTCTCCTTGTGTACTTTGACACAGATTATTGAACAAAGCCTATGGTTTAGTTTAATCCCATGCATGGATTTTAGCTTTAGCAAGCTAATTTTTTCTCCTTCATACTTGGCTGACCACTTTTATCAGTGTGCTGTTTATGAAGCATTTTTATTCTTGCTGCAAGGAGTCAAATCCTTTCTACTGGTGTTTAGTGGCATAGTAAACTCGGTGACTCTGCTGCAGTCCATTTCTTCTTTTACGCAGCAAAATTCTCTTACTGATCTTTACCTGTTCTCATTCCCCCGCCACAAAGAGCCTTTTTTCTTTCTAGGTGTTCCTCATAAGCAAACTGAAGGACAGTCAGGAAAATGTCTAGCACAACACTTTGCCAACTGTGCAGAGACATAAGAACTGATGTGTTTAAAGTATACCCTTTAAATCCTCCTCCTATCATTTCCTATAAGGTTGACATCACTTGACGAGCTAGACTGCAGTTTCAATGAGATCGAAGCCTTGCCTTCTTCCATTGGTCAGTGCGTCTGCATCCGCACCTTTGCAGCGGATCACAACTTCCTCACCCAGCTCCCCCCTGAGGTGAGCATTCATTTTATTTTAGAGACATTGTTCTGTTTACTGAACTGCAACTTTGTTAGACTGTTGGTTAGAGACTCACAAGTCCTCGGTTTGTTCCACCTCCACCAGATGGGCAACTGGAAGAATGCAACTGTTCTGTTTCTGCATTCCAACAAGCTGGAGTCTTTGCCTGAGGAGATGGGTGACATGCAGAGGCTCAAAGTCATTAATCTGAGCAACAACAAGTGAGTCTTGACTGACGTTGAGATAAAGAAGCCTAGATAAAATTGAGCTATTTATTTTTTTATTCTGCATATGTATCTTTTTTCTGCTGCTTTATTTTTAAGAAAACAAAATGTTGGATAAGCAACTAATTTTTTGTTTTGTTAATAAGTAAAAAAAATTTTCTACCACAGGTTGAAAAATCTTCCCTACAGTTTTACTAAACTGAACGAGATGACAGCAATGTGGCTCTCTGAAAACCAGGTAAGACTTATAATATTCTGTGTGAAGCGACTCAAAGCTGTGAAGGTGACTCGCAGTAAATTAAGAACCAAGCACAAGTAACTCACAGGAAGCGCATCTAAAATGCAGGGAACCACATCCAGGACATTCGATGTCGGCATGTCAAATGCCAGTCCAGGTCAGCCTTAGTGATACCTCCTTGGCTTTAAAGTGTGGAGGAAGACTAATGAATGGCCGAAAATGATATCCTTATCTCCCCAGTTAAAGGAAAACAGAGCGGTAATCTAGACTGAAACCTTAAAAGCTGGTATGTGTGCATCACTGACTGGGAGTCAGCGATGAGATAAAGTGGCAGCAGCTGCTGACCGGAAGAAAATCAGATTGTGGATAGTAGGCGAGTTGTGCTTGAAATGCAAACTTCTTTCCCGGTTCTCAACAGTCAACATGCCTGTCCCTGTAGAAATGCTTAACATCGGTCGGCTCGAGTGAGAAAGCATCTTGTAATCCCAGCTCTACAAAGCAGTTTGGCTTTGTGTGGTAAAAGAATATTTAAACTACTCGTGTCCAGCCTAACTGAAAAGTTTAAATACACAAAGCCATAGTAATGTTGGAGAAGACTCTTCGGGAGTATACTGCTTCAGTCAGTGTGCTTTGTCTGACTTGTAAATATTTCCAAATTACAGACAGACTCTCACAAGGTTCTAAAATCAATTATTCATGCGTTTCCCCCTCCTGGCTGATCTATTCCAAGGCTCAGATGAACTGCCTTGACAAATGGTCTCAGAAAAAACTGCAGCTGTTTGAGATTGCTGCTGCAGAATCGGCCGTGGTGTTCTCATCTCCGCCGTCCTAGCCTCAAGTTAGTTATTAAAAAGAGAATAAAATGCAAGCATTTTTCTGCTCTTTACAATTCTCTCCATGATTGCTCTCCTTTTTTAAATTGTTAACATTATCTTGACTAGACAACGTGCATGTTGGCACAGGTGGAATGATGGCAATGGCACACTGGTTGATCTTAGAGTAATGATTGTTAGGAAAAGGGGTGCAGTTAACTAAGAAATGCTGCAGATGATTAGAGGTGAAATCACAGAGAACATGCAGTTGCCGAACTGCTCCACACGCAAGACGGTTGTTCACAAAATGGCTGCAAGACGCGTTAGAGAAAATGTATTTTTGCTTACTGCTCCCTCCCTCTCCGTCTCCCTCAATACACCTCTGGAAGGAGAGCTGAGTCATACCTCAGTAAAGGCCAATTCAGGCTTAGTGAGTTTGTAAGGTTATGAGGATCATCTGTGCATGAGCCAGAAAACAGAGGTGCAATTCAAATCCTGTTCGTTTACATGTCTGAAGGCATGTTTTATATTAGTTATTTGATGATATAGACACACAGTTGCTGTTTTATTTCTTAAACCACAAACAACAAGTTCAGGAGCTCTTGTTTTTTCAATGAAATTTGTCATTTTCCTTCTCACTTTGGTTGAACTCAAATATGCCAGGAACAAACACATCAACAGCACCAGTTGTGGGACGCAAACACATCAGAAATTACTATGCTATAAAGATTTTTGCTTGAACAAAAGAGAGGTGTTAAGTTTTGGGCAGTCAAGACTTTGCTGAGAAAGAAAGCCTTGAAGTGTCTTCAGCCAAGTAAACCAACTGTGTCTGATCTGTTTGAAAATGAGCAGCGTGGCCTCAGTAAACACTGATCCAACATACGGTTCCTCAGACCTGCCAAGCGGTTCGGTGCTTTTCACCTCGATGCAGCTCCCGCGCTTCATGTGTCTCCTGGACGTGGGCAGGTGCAGCTGTTTATCATCACAAAGACACAAAGAGAGGAGATGGTGTAGCATGACAGGAATTATTGCTACAGGCTTCGAGTTAGGGAGATCTGTAATCTTTAGATCTCATTTAGCTAGACCTGTTAATGCATTCATTAGTTCTGCACATAATATGAGCAGTAAAGCTATATCTGTGTATTACGTCACAAATGGCTCAACATGTGTGTGTTTTCGGTTTTTGAGCTGCACAGAGCCGTTCTTGTTTATGGGAGCAGGTGATGATTTCCCCTCACCTATTAGCATCTGTGCCTTTCCATGTCACTGTATACCACCGGTTTGGCTCATTTGGAACCTCAGCTGAGGTTGTACCAAAAACAGCCATTAGTCAGTATCGCTTACGTTGTACCGCTTGCAATGGAAAACCAAAAACTGAGGTGTATCGTTTCATGTAATGGAAAGAAGCCACCAGATTCCAGTGGCAGAAGTAGAAAAAGTTGTATGAATGGCATACATTTATTTTGTTTGAATGAAGTTATTAGATTTAAGTCTTTGTTTTTCCTTGCCACGCTTAGGAACACAACATTTTCTGATGCGGAGCTGTTGACTCAAACCTACTTTCTATCTCCTGCAGTCAAAGCCCCTGATTCCTCTCCAAAAAGAAGAGGAACCAGAGACTCACAAAACTGTGCTGACCAATTACATGTTCCCTCAACAAACCCGGGCTGAAGACTGTGAGTACACGCCAAGACTCAATTTTGCCCCGAGCAACTACGTAGGATTAAAGGTCCTGGAGCGGCCATACATTCATGACTAAATTAATTAATTTGAGTTGCACATGAAGCTGCGACAACAGTTTTAGTATGATCATTACTATTATATTATTAGTTTGTAGATGTTTTTTTTATCAAAGACCTTTACTGAAAATACATTAAGAAAAATCAATTAGAAAATATCAGATTTAAAACTGAAAAGATTTAATAAAATCTGATTATTTCCAATGTATAAATCAGATTTTTAAGGTTAATTTATTCTTGATGTCACATTCTGAGGCTCTGCCATGACTACAAGTAAGTTCTTTGTTATAACAGTCTAATAGGTGACCTACAAGGATCCCTCACTCCATATTTTATAGGAGACTGATTACTTGAGCCTGCTGAGGAAACCCTAGCCTTTGTCTTCTTTGTCAAGCATCCATTTGTTTGCTTTGGGTTTCCGTTTCAACAGACAGCTTGAGCTGACCCTGTTGCATTTGAGCTTTCACGTAATGAGTTCAGAAGCTACAGGCTTGATCTACTAAGTGAGTCGTGGGTCAATAGGTTGTTTTTTAATTTATTTGTATTTATATGTCCCTGACACTATTCATATTTTTTATTTTACTGGGATATATTTTAGGAGAATTTTCTTTGTTCCTCTGACCTGAATTATTATATTTTACAGTTATTGTGATATGACAGACACAAGTGGCTCATGTTGTCTGGTGTCTTTTTGTACATAGAGGGTGAGGATGTGAAACAGACTTGTTCTTAGCTAGAAGTCAAACAAACTGGGTTACTTCAGTAAGTGGGGGATGTTTACAGATGAAACATTGAAGTATATTTGTCCAATTTTTCCATCAATCTTAAGTATTAAGCTAAAAAACAGAACTAAAAATGTGTTTTTGAAATGCAAAAGAATACTGTAATAAAGCAAGAAAGGAGAACAATTCCAGGTGGTCGGAGTTCCACCTCCTTTACTTTCCCTCATGCTGTCATAGCTCCTCCTTGTGGTCAAAGTCAGACCAGAGTGAACTGAACATGGTAGCAGTGACTGAGGAAGCTATGAATAACAAAAGCTGATAAATAACCCGATGCGTGACCTCTGTTTTATTTCAGACATTCCTAACTCTGACTCTGAGAGCTTCAATCCGACCCTCTGGGAGGAGCAGCGCAAGCAGCGAGCTCAGGTGGCCTTCGAATGCGATGAGGACAAGGATGAGAGAGAAACACCCCCAAGGGTTAGTCACACATTTGTCACTGTGTATATAAATGGAAAGGGAAAAACAACAGGGCTGACGGGCTTTGCCAGAACTGTGAGTCTTTTGTTGTTGTTTTTATCACCAAACCTCTGTTCCAGCTTGGCTGGTTTCACATAAAAACAGCCAGGGAGGGTTTCAGTGTGTCTCTGATAAGGTTCTCAATGAATAAATTGTTTGTTTTTTAGCTTTTAGTTTTACCCTGTTTGTTCGTGTTGGTGAGAATTGCACTTTGTAGTGTAGCGATTGAGGCTCAGTAACTCTGCGACTAATAAAAACTATTTGTTATGTGAGGGTGGAAGGAAGTAGAGTGAATTATGTGTGTGCAAACGCGAGCAGGGCCTGAGCACCAACACCGCATTAATGCAACAAAGGCTGTGCTTTCTTCTGGGAATATGTTTTTAAAAAAAAAGCATTTCCACTGTTCAGGCTGCTGTGACTTTGTGTTTTCTTTTTTTCTATTCTCATTATTTGTTTACCCATCTAATTTTAGTCTGTATGTATTTTCATTCTTGTAGGAGGGAAACCTAAAGCGCTACCCCACGCCATATCCAGATGAGCTGAAGAATATGGTCAAGACGGCCCAATCGGTGGCTCACCGGCTAAAGGAGGATGAGTCCAGTGACGAATCAAAACCAGAGAGGAACCACATTGGAGTGCAGGACACGGGGGTTAAGGTCAGCTTCAGAAAAAAAGCCCTTACATTCTGTAATGACTCTCTAATTTCTTGTTTTTAACTAAACTTGTTTTCGTTCCATTTGAGTAAACTTACAGGTCTGTAGAAGATTTTTAATGCTCTGGTTTTCTGCAGGTGATAGAGGCCCCCGTTTCTAACGGAGTGACGACAGACACTCGGACTCCAGAATCTCCCAACACTTTTGACCTGAATCTTTCTACAGCTGAAGAAACTTCTGAGTCTCTTAGCTCCCATAAAATCCCACTGAAGTCTTCGGAGGGCTCTGTAATGAACCACGAGGACACACTAGAGGTTGTCCAAATATTTAGTGCTCTGTTCTCACAAGTTCTTAATACATTCAACGAATCATGAGCTTTGAATGGGAAGGTTAATTCTTTAAAGAAATATTGTAATTGTTTACAGGATTCTGAGGAGCTAACAGATGAGGAAGAGGGGATGAAAGTGGCTGAGCTGAGACCTCCCCTAATTGAGATTTCCATTAATCAGCCTAAAGTAGTGACCCTAAGTAAGGACAAAAAAGGTAATTTCACAGACTGTACATGATACACACATGATTTCAATGGAATTGAAGCATCTTCAGTTCAATTTTCAACAACTTTTTTCTGCTTGACAGATGACGGGAAAGATGCTGACTCTCTACTGGACGACACAGTAGCCAACAGCAACCAAAACAACAGTAACTGCTCGTCACCATCACGTATGTCCGATTCTGTGTCTCTGACCACAGACAGCAGTCAGGACAACTCTCTGTGCACACCTGAGAGAGAGGCAAAAATGCCTTTCCTACCAAAAGGCCGGTTAGTATCCTTCAACTAGTAAAGTAGAAATGAGAGCGTTCTTCCCGCTGTTGCTACAATATCTGATGCCTTGCAATACATGTACTTGTTTTAGACAAGAAGATGAGAATATGAACCAGTCAAAGGACACCACTCCTCTCCTTCATAATGGGAATGGCTCTGAAACGTCCCTGCAGGCCATTTTGAAATCGCAACAGACGCCACCAGACTATGACCTGTCAATGGAAGCCAGACTAGCGTTCATTGAGAAAGGAATAAACAACGGTATGGGAGAAACGTACAACAAGTGGGACCAGATCAATATGAATATGACCAAGCTGCCAACCTACAACGTGGGCCAGCTGGATGAGATGGACAAAGTAAAGAACGGTTCATTTCCCCAGGAGGACTTGAACAGCAAGCAGGGCTATGGCAATGACAACATGGATCACTTACAGAATGGAAATCCACAGGGGAACGACCACATCAACAGTCTGGATAACACGTGCCAAGTGATGAGAGTAGAAACATCTGCGGTGCATGTGGCCTCGACAGGCGTGACTGCCAGCAGCGACATGTCTCTGTCCCGCAGCACAGAGGAGCTGTCTCCAGAGAGAAGATGTCACCCTCCACAGGTGATGAAGTCCCAGAGCATTAGCAACATCGAAGCAGGGGGCATGAAGCTGTACTCCTTTGAAGGGGATTCTGACTCCTATGACTCTGCAGTAATGACTAGAATGGCAGGGGCCGGCCCAGGGCCTGGATCTCAGGGCCAGAACATAGTCCGGAGCAAGTCTGCCAGTCAGTTACTCAGTGACCAGACTCTCCTGGTGTACCCCGGCTCGTCTACGTCCTCCTCAGACCTGCTGTCCTCTTCCAAGCCTCCTGTGAGCACCAGCAGATATCAAATGTCCTCCAGCATGAATATGGGGACAACCCCCCCTCAGTATAATATACAATACACAAGCAGTGCCATTCCGAAAGAGGGTGCCTGGGCTCAGAGAGCACCCATGCCCCCTGAGCACCAGGGCTACTTCCCCTCTCCCCCACACTCTCTAGCCAACACCAATTATTCAAATCGTAACCAGGCACCTCCCTACCCCCTGCAGCCCCAGCAGAGGGGGCCGTCTATGGCACCCAAAGGAGACTGGAGACTGGACCAAGGCCAGGCGAGAAGCAGCACTCTGCAGAGGCAAAGCAGCATCTCCTCCACAGCCTCCATGGGCGACCCCAGACGTATGCAGGGTCACGAGGGGGACTACATGACGTACAGGGACATTCACACTCTCGCACGAGGCCCTCTGGCCATGAGCCAGGCCTCGCAGAGGCCCCTCTCGGCTCGCACTTACAGCATCGATGCACCCGCAGCTTCCAGGCCTGTCAGCGCCAGGCCACAGCCCCACGAGCTTCCAGAAAGGACCATGTCTGTCTGCGATTTCAACTACCAGCACATCAGCCCCAGCAAGCGGCCCAACACCAGGGTGAAGTCTGAGCACTCGCTCCTGGACGGTCCAGCACTGATGTCGGGAGGAGTGGGCGCAGGAAGGGTGCCGGTGGACTGGAGGGATCAGGTGATGCGCCACATTGAGGCCAAGAAACTGGAAAAGGTAACAGATACTTCATATGATGAATGTTGCCATGCTTGAGTTGTCCTTGGATACAGTGTTAAATATGACTTTGGGTTTATTCAGTATTCTTGGACCAGCTGCAAATGAGATTCTCTCCTGCATTTTTAACGTACTGGTGACCTGCTAACTCAAAATGTCATCACATGAAAGAGTAATCATAAAAACAACTCACATTTTCTTCAAGGATCAACTTTTCCTCCTGAACAGACAACCTGTCCGCACATACCTTTCTAAAAAAGATGCAGCGCTTTCAAGAGTTTTTTATTACTTTTTTAAACATACCTGAGGGGTTCAAACCCAAAGTATTACAGGGGCATACTAACCCATCTGTCAGTAAGATATCTCTGATTTGCTCCATCTGTATAAGCTGAACGTGTTTTGTATGTATGTGTTTTCTGTCTTTCACTCATTTGCTGGATTGCATGACCATCTCTGCTGCATGTCCTCTGCCGGTTGCTCGATGTCGTCAGAATGCGCTGTCTCGCTCCTATAATTCCAATAATTTTCCACTGAGCTGGTCTCACTACGGCAGCTGTAGGGAGATGCATGCCAGCCAAGGCTCCCTGGTGTTTAGTGGACAGCCCAACGGAGCCCTGAGCTTCTGTGTGAGTACTGTGAACTTGTAGTTGACTCCTGCTCATACTAAGCCAGGGCCTCCAGTTCCTGCCGCTTTCACATCCCTTAAAGGAATAAGGAAATAGCTGTTTCCTCCCCTCCTTAATGTTGAGAGGTCAGATCTGCATATGATTTCTTTCACTTGTCCTTTTCAAAGACAAATGAAAGCATAGTGTCATGTGACTAAAAGCTTTGGTTGAGTGCTTAACAAAAAAAAGGATGTATTTTAGTTTTCGTGTTAATAATGACCAGAATTAAAGCTGTTTTAAAGGGGCCCTGTTATCTTTTCTTAGTTTGTTACTGTCAAATTAGAACCTGACACATTGGTCATATTGACAAAATACATTTAGTTTTTTTTTTATCTTTATTAATTTTTGAATTTGATGTATTCCAAAGAACAGAATAGGCATTTAAATTTTGTATTAAAGACAAAATGAACCCTTTAAAATAGCCTGATGTTAAAATAGTCATTTTAACATCAGTCCTCCCTTTCCGTCTTTCCATCTTGCTGCCCTCAAAATGTCCTTTTCCCCCTTTAACTGCACTTCAGATGCTTAATTTTGCTCATTCACCATCTTCACTCCAACTTTTGATCACTTCAGAGTCACTTCATAACTGCTCACTTTGTGTGTGGGGATGAAACTGTGTTGGTGAAAGGTAAGTGGTGTTAACTGTGTTTCAAAATTCTGTAGAAGTGGGTATTAGAATCTGTAGGGGCAGTGAGAGCGTTTCCTTTAAGGCTGTCATTGTTTTGTATAACTTCTACCCAGCTTAGAATTTAAGAAACACTTAATTTGCAGAAATCTCATATTCAGAATTACCTTCTGCTTGCTGCCTGGATTAAACCAAACCAAAGGACAGATTAATCCATTTCTATCGTAATTCCTTTTTTATTTGATTTTTTTTACCCTTTATCAACACCTTGCTGCCTAATGTCATAATGAGACATCATTCATGTTCATGTCAGCCTTTAAATAACCTGTCTTTCATGTTTCTTGGTTGTCTTACTAAGGCGGTGGTGCAATAATCCTCATTTATTTCCTTTCAGGATGACGTTTTTGTCCCTCAAGGGCCACAAAGCTACACCATGGACCCCCACAGAAAAGTATGTGCGAAATATGCACGCAGAGAAAAAAAGAACATTATATGTAACACAGCCTATTTTAAAGTTTTATAAACCCCTTCAAGATTAAGAATAGAAACCCTGCTGAATGTTTAAGAGAGCATTCTGTTCATAACTGTGTTGTTTGCACAGGTGCCTTTGATGAATGGTCAGATGGGCCCTTCTGTTCGTCCTCAGATGAGCCAGACCTCCATGGCTCGCCACCCTTCCAGAGAGCAGCTCATTGACTACCTAATGCTCAAAGTCTCCCAACAACCTCAAGGGCCCCCTCGTATTCCAAATGATACACTGCAGCAAGAGGTAAATTATGGTTTTTACATGCTGATTTAACCTCCTGCTGGCTATAGCTCAACCAATTTGCTCAGAAAGAGCAGAAATAATCCGCTATAACTAAAAACGACTCCCTCAGAGGGAATTTTAAGTCTTTTAAAGTGTTTAAGTGTTTACTAATAGTCTTGTATAATATATAGTTCCATTCTACCACAACTGTGTGTTGGAATGGGGTGGTAACTTCTTGATTTCTTACAAAAACAAACGGGAGCTTTGCAAACATGGACGCTGACTATTTTGGTCACCGAAATCAATCTGAGTAATAGGAGCTTTATTTAGTAAATGAAGTGGAATTGTCTCAAAGTTCCTATTTCACACCGTTGTAAAAATGAGTACGGTAATTAATGGTTAATGAAAGTGTTTGGATGCGTTTCAGATCCGTGTGAAGGTGGAGAAGAATCCAGAGCTGGGCTTCAGTATTTCTGGAGGAGTGGGAGGCCGGGGAAACCCTTTTCGTCCCGACGACAATGTAGCCCACATGTTTTTTCGTTCTCCAAATGAAATGTGAAATACTGCCAATTGCAATGACTGTTATTGACTCGGTGTGTCGCATGTCATATGATTTCAGGGTATTTTTGTGACGAGGGTTCAACCTGAGGGACCGGCTTGCAAGGTTCTTCAGCCTGGAGATAAAATTATCCAGGTACCCTTCTGTCTGCACACATACCGGCTTTATGTCTCTCAACTTGTATTTGAGATGTTAACCGATAACATTTTCCTTGTTGACAGGCAAACGGATACAGCTTTGTGAATATAGATCATGGGAACGCAGTGTCCCTCCTGAAGACATTTCCAACCACTGTGGATTTAACTATCATACGAGAAGTGCAAGCGTAGACTCGAATGACGTGACCTCCAGCACGGTTGGAGGATGGTTGGCACATGAAAGAACAAAGAAACTTACATTGACTGTCCTATTTTTATACATGAAAGAGACTGATCTGCTGACACCTGTGGGGACTATTTATAGTGGGGACCTTCAGAGGTCTTCTTAACCTCGATTAAATGGGGAAACCACTGAATGTAGTGGATCTAAGTGACACCGCATCAAAAACCTGCAAGTACGTGTCCTCAAAAGGCCGTCACTGTGGTATATATATATTTTTTTACAAAGAAGCTGAACATATGATGTGCTTTGATGCAAATACTGTGGTCTCTGTACAGAACATCCTTTTTTTAACTTCTCAACCACTGAGTATGGGTTAAGTTTATATCTGCAGATGGACAGGCAAGCTGACCACGACTGGGCAGGGCTCGCTCTCTTTTTTTTTCTCACTCTCTCTGTCCTGTCGTCCAGCATGCCTTTTTACTTTTGGACTTTTTATTTTAGATGTTGAATCTCTCACCTGCAAGCTGATGTTATCCAGAGGAAATTGGTACGTGTTTTTCATGGAGAGACGAATGTAGATAAAGGAGGTGATTGGTTTGTTTTTGTTCTTCTTACATGATCGAAGAGTTGAGAGGAGATAGCCCTCCACCTTCATTTCTAGAAACCTGTAAACATCCCAAAACACACAGACACCTCCCTCCTACTCAGTGCCCAGTGTAGCTAGACCCATTCACACGAAACCATCTAGAAATCACAACATGAGAATTCCCCTGAGATGGCAGGAGGTCGAAGAAATGCACTCTTTATGTTTTTATTTTATAAGGCAGGAAAACAGACAGGAACTTAACCTGTTTGGGGGGCAAGGGGGGGTTAAGTGGCACAAGTGTGAAACATTTAAAACAAGGGATAATGGGCAATTTGTTTTAGTTAAAGTGATTGTCCAGTTTATTACATTAGCTACCCTACTAGTTCTCAGTTAAGAATCTGTCAAATAATTTCCCGAATGTCTGAATTATTCAGATTATGTGTTGGATATGCTAATGTTTAAAGCAAGCATGGGAATTGAGGACAGAAAGCTTAAAGCCAGGGAGGAAACCGTATAAAGATATTTGCATAAGAATCATATTTTAATTGTGACTTCATCATTCAGGCTGCCATCAGTGTGTTTAGCAGCTATCAGTTGTATTTTCCACATGGGAGAAGACCACAGGTTGCCTTTTCTGTCTATTAAGTGTTCATTTTGCTTGTTATCACTTTGGAGCATTTTTGTTTCGTTTTCTCACTGTACAGAGGAGAGAATTGGGAGATACAAATTGTCAAAGTGCCATAGACCTTGAACTGTTTGAGCAGGGGAGGATGTTTGACCCCAAAACCCAAGCAATACTCACATATTCACAACCAGTTTGATTACATTTGCAGCTCAATGGCTTGCAAGCAATATTTAAAGCCTTTATTTTCATTCACTGATCACCATTTTTCAAACAAAAAGCAACCTATTTTACATTGTTTTTATATTGTGAAAAGAAACCTTTTGTAATTTAAATAGCACAGGAAACAGAAATGGTAATGCTTAAAGGAACTCTGCATTGTCCAACGGTGAACGTTTTGTCACTATGCCTGAGACTTTTTACCATCTGTTGTGTAGAGTACCAGATCTGTGGATATTTTTATGTGTTAAATTATCCACTCAAATCTGCATCTCAAAACATCCATGGAGAAGCTGGGAGAAGCCATGTGATCTCCGGCACAGCAGAGTGACACGTTTCCAACAAAGAGACAAAAAAAAAGCGAAATGATTAAATTCCTGTGCCAAGTGGAAGCGTGTTGAAACTCCAGCGGCATGTTTAGAAGCAGCGAGTTGCTGGCACGTCTGAATATGACAGCATTTATCCTGCAGAGATGGAACAAACCGCATTCCCCCAACTTGTTGACAGCAGAAGGTGTCATCTGCTGTGTATGTAACAAAGTTTGGCTCGTGTTCCATGCTTGTGGCACTGGCATACCAAAAGGAAAACACTGTGGAGATTAGCTAAATTTAAATTCCTGCAATAATTGTGCTGTTGAAAGGTAGCAGTTCTTACTGAAGCTGTACTTTTTTTTTCTTTTGGTTTTTGATATCAGTCCAGGATTGATCCTTTTATTTTTTCTTAAGTGACAAACATGACAAAGTGCATTTCCCAAACTTTTCACACATTGTATTTTACACAAATGAAATTGATTATATTTGTTTTTAATCTGTCACTGTTTTCTGTTGTTGTTTTTTAAGCCTTGGGGAGGGATGGGGTGATTTTACTTGGACTCATTGGTCACTTTATGTTCATGGACAACAGATGTCTTGACGTTCTAGACAATCTAGGGAGATAATGTTTTCACTTTTTCTTCATCCATGTTGGTTTGTTAAGCTCCCACTTTGTATTTATTTAGCACACATATGTGGATTTTAGACCTTACTAATCAAATTGTAAATACTCCCCAAAAAAAGTCTTAGAGTTAATAAAAGGCATTAGGGACTTGCGATTGTAAAACCAGCAATAAATTCCAATGCAGAGGCACCCATTTGGATGTAAAGCTAGTATATCTTAAGTTTCCCTAGAAACAGTCAGTGAGATGATTGATATGCATTTATCAACATTCCAGATTTTGTACATAGATACATGTTTCAGAAGTAACCTGTGGACAATAAACTAATGCTGTTTAACAGTGATTCTCATGTTTCATTCCATTATTCAGATATTTGTCAAAGAACTACAGTAAAAGATACTGTATTTGCCGGAAATGTATTGCCGTTGGCCAAGCACATATCAGTATTTCAAGAGTCGAGTAGATGACGTTTTCATGCATGAACTCTGCTTGTGTCGCTTTCTCAACAAGGACCAACATCACACAAACACTGGGGTTCCTCTATGACCACTATTTAAAAGGAAACAGGGCGTTCAGACCAAAGGTGCCCTGGCCTTTTAGTCAGCCAGTGACTCCGCCAATTAGAATAAGGACATCACTATTCATGTGGACTGTATAAAGGAAGGACACTGATGCAACACATTCTGGAAAAAAAGAAAAGGAGCAATACCATCAAGCAATTAATTTAATCATACATTTAATCAGTTTAATCAGCAACAACTCAAAATGCCTAAAAGGGAAAATGTGTGTTTGAAACTAAAACTGCTGTATTCTTTAAACACAATTCTACGTTTAGTGTACTGTATACAGCCACCCTGCAGGGGGAGGTAGTGAATTCCAAGACCGACTGTCAGTCTAAACTCAAAAAGAAGAAGAAGGTGAACCCTCCCGCTCCGCCCTCTCAGACACACTGTACAGTAAAAGCTAACTGGGATATTTAAAAAAACACTATACAATTAAACACACAGTAAATTCCAACGTCAAGAATGAGCGGGATACCAGGGACTGCAGTCGTCCAGGTCACCAACCTGTCCTCGGCTGTGAGCAGCGAGCAGATGCGGACTCTGTTCGGCTTCCTGGGAGACATCGAGGAACTGCGCCTCTATCCGCCGGAGTAAGCACCACTTTCCCCGGCCACGCTAGTTAGGCAACAACGCGGGCTTGTGGCCTATTTGCGGCGCACGCGACCATTGAGAGGAAAACGTTACAGGTTTAATGCACTGCTAACCTGCATTTTCTTTTTCTTTTTTCCCCCCCAACCCTCGCAGCAACGCTCCCCTGTCTTTTTCGTCTAAAGTGTGTTACATAAAGTACCGAGAGCCTTCCAGTGTTGGTGTGGCGCAACATCTCACCAACACTGTTTTTATTGACAGAGCTTTGATAGTGGTGCCATGTGCGGAAGGTGAGTGCAAAGCGTTCAAAGAGGTAAAACTGATGTTACCTTTCCCCCTTGAATTCTTACCTGTGATTGTTTTTCATTGTGAATTGTGGGGGGGTTTGCTTCACATGAAAAATTAGCCAGTTGCACCGTTGGGTAGCTCGGGTTTCAGCCGTCTTTAATCACATGTATTTGACACAGGTGATGGGGTTGATTTCCTGCTAATATCCCAAAGCACACTGACAAGGGTTCTGTTTGGTGTCACGAGGTGGTTCTGACAGACACAGTTAGCTGAACGACGTTTCATGTTGAGGGCACCTTCACTTAAAAAACTGGACTCTCTGGAACATGTAGCTCCTGCATCATTAGGATGTCACTTATTACCAAAATTGAAAAATCAACTCCATTATAACACAGTTAATTCAACCCTTCTTTTTCCTCCTCATTTTTATTTATTTATTTTGATCTCCCCCTCCCAATTGATGCCACTGTTGTTCCCTTGTGTAGAGTCACAATGATATCACCTCTAACCTGATGCTTTTGTCCACGTGACTTGGTGCTGGATGGCTACTGAGTTTATTAATTTGGTTTTGTATGTTTTTTCTGTGTGATTATGTGTGCATATCAGATGACTAGACTGGCCCAGCTGTTACACTACACTAGCCTGAGTCAGGCATTGTTTTCCAAGCCACTATCCCCGATCGGGCCAACGCAGCCTTCAAGGGGGAATGTGACCCGGAGAATAGCCCGCTGAACCTTCCAAGATGGACACCTTGTCTCTTTTTTTTTTCATTTATTTTTCTTTTTTTTTCGGTTTGTTTCCTTTCATACTATCCCATGTTGTCCAATCTCTGCTGTCTCTACCTAGAAACTGCAGTTATCTCTAGCGTTGTGTTTATATTTGTTATTTTTGTTTGTTATTTTGATTATTGTCCAACCCCCCACCCCCCTCTCTCTTTCTGCTACAGCTGCAGCTTGTGTGTGATTGAATTCTGTCCAGGTTGCTTCGGCATACCGGTGGGATGTGTGTCACACAAGGGGATGCTAGGAGGATGACTAACCTTTTAATTCTCTTGTCTCCTGCATCAGTTCATGTAGTGAAGGGCCAGTCTTTGTGGAAAAGTGAGACCCATTAATGAAGCTTAATTTTTTTCTAATTTAGGCATTTGTTGTCTGAACTCAAGGATGTATAGAAGGCAACATTTAGAAGTTTTTCCTCACATTTCCACAATATTGATCTGATATGAATGTAAAGTATTCTGTAACACCACAGAGCTGATCAGTGAAGTATCATTTCTCATCATCACACACTGCATTGTTAATGTGAGCAATGGCTCTTAAAAAGGAAGCATTTCATGCTAAACAAATGGAAATCTTAGCTAAATAGCCCCCATAAGCACTGAAATACATCTGTAGCCTTTTTTTGTCCTCTTCCCTCAGCATGGAAACAGATTTATAATTCAGAGGAATCAGCAACATACCTAATTGGTTGTCTTTTTTTATTAGAGCTACGTTTTGGCTAACAGTTCTTAAAATTGTTGTTCTTTTCTGTATCTGATGTCCTGTGTGCTATTAGTGATGCAGCCATTGGGGTTGTCTTGTGTTGCACACCTTTCCAACACTGCGAAACGATCGCCCCACGGAAAAGCGCCCATGCTTGATATCGTATGGTTCATGACCAATATGTTTCCAGTACAGGTGACCCATACATCAAAGTGTTGACTCATTCTCTGCATTTTCTTTCTTTAAAAAAAAAAACTATAAAAAGAGAACGACAGAATCAGTGCTCCTTTGTTTTGTGAAAAAAAGTAACTACTTTTTTACACTTCTTACTGTAATACACGTTGAGAAGAATATTTCTGTGAAAGTAAGGATGTTCTGCCTCCAGTGTGCCAGAATTAGACAGTAGAACACTTTTAGGCTGTACGGGGAATTGTCTTTCTCTCTAGAAAGAAGTCTCTTTCTCTCTAGAATACAGTGGGCTAATTGTGCAGACATAGAGGAGACAGAGAGACGATTTCCTCTCTTGCCTTCTCTAATATTTGCTTTTACCCTGCAGGGAAAATCCCAGAAGAGGCCAAGGCTCTGTCTCTGCTGGCACCTGCCGCCCCAGTGCCCAGCCTGATTCCCGGTGGAGGATTACTGCCAATTCCGACCCCAGCTCCACTTCAGAATGTGAGCCGCCGCGGCCCCTTTGGCTGTTTTTTCGCGGATCTTCCCATCATCCCCGTCTAATAAAACCTCTCTCTATGTGTTTGGCAGCTGAACCTCCCGCTGGTGAACCGGGTTTCCGGCGGCCTGAGCCCCACCTCCTCGGTGATCTCCCAGCCTCCGCTCGTAGGGAATGTCGACCCGTCCAAAATCGACGAGATCCGGCGGACGGTTTACGTTGGCAACTTGAACTCACAGGTACCTGGAAGTGTTTTCTCATCTCGTCATCGGTGCGTCGACGAGGCGGCGCCGTTGGTTTCTCTACCCGCACACGCTCGCACACGTCTCCTGATTATGTGTCAAATAAATGATCCCGACCCGAGTGTGTGTTCCAGGCCCGTGTTTTGGGTGTTTACAGCTTAGTGACTCTTTCTGTGCCACAGACCACCACTGCAGAACAGCTGTTGGAGTTCTTCAAGCAGGTGGGCGACGTCAAGTTCGTGCGAATGGCGGGCGACGAGACCCAGCCCACACGCTTTGCCTTCGTGGAGTTTGTGGAGCAGGACTCCGTCGCCAGAGCTCTGACGTTCAACGGAGTCATGTTTGGAGACAGGCCCCTGAAGTACGTCCACTTCTTTTCTTTCTTTATTATTTTTCTTTTTGAGGGTTCAGCCCAGAGTCTGGGATTGTTAAACACGGTGAGCGGTCGTCATGGTGGAGTCCGGGGTCTGTTTTAAGCTGACTGATCGGATGTCCTTCAGGGTGAATCATTCCAATAACGCCATAGTCAAACCCCCGGAGCTGACGCCCCAGGCTGCAGCCAAGGAGCTGGAGAGCGTGATGAAGAGGGTGAGAGAAGCCCAGTCCACCATCGCCGCCGCCATAGAGCCAGGTAGGACGCTCGGATTGGCCGTGTTTCCGAAGCTTTCACCTGAAGCCGTTTGCATCCTGACGTTGAAACTGCTCTTTCGTGCTACAGCAGAGACCCCGGTGCGTTCCTCCAGCCGGTCCATGAGGCTGCGGCGCTCTCGGTCGCGCTCGCACTCCAGATCCCGCCGGAAAAGGTCCCGCTCCAAGCACAGGTGTCCGACTCACACGCGTTAAGCGCACCGTAGCGGCATGGCGGTCAGGGTGTCCAGCCGGTGACATTTTGTTCTCTCCTCTGGAAGCAGACCGTCGAAGAGGTTGTGGACGGGGGGCGACTCGCACAGCTCCAGAAGCGGCCACAGGAGGCGCTCTCGCTCCAAAGACAGGAGGCGCGCCCGCAGTCGCTCCAGGTTTGTGGGCAGCCGCCAGTTTCTCACCGGAAAACGAATGAATGAAATGAATCTGTTTTGAACTGTGAGAAAAACACAACATAACAAAACCCTGCTGTTCCTGCCTTTGACAGCAGGGGTCAACAGTGACCCCCACAGCCCCATGAATGTCACAGAGCAAAAATATGGGATTTGAAATGTTTGTGAAGCCTTTAACAGAGGAAAGTGTGAATTCAAAGTCATGTAATGTTGTTGAGTTTTTTTTTTCTGTCTCTGAAGTCTGAGTACATTTGCTGATCTAGTTCATATTTTGTCATCAGAGGCCACAAAAGGAGGAGCAAGGATCGGTCCAGAAGCCCCCGAAGGAAAGCCCGGTCGCCCTCCCCAAAACGGTGAGTCATCCCTCCCCTCCGGAGGGCTTCCAGTCCTGGCTTTGTTGCGTTTTCAAATAACGTCCAAAACAAGTGAGCAAATATCAGGAATTTGGTGTTTTTGTGTTGATTTAATCGTCCTTTTCAGAGGTAAGAGGGAGAAGAGGAGGGAGCGCAGCAGGGACAGAAGGGAGCAGTCCGCATCCCGGAAGAGGAGCCGCAAAGATGAAGACAGGATAAAGAGCAAATCCAAGACCTCAAAGGTAACGACACTCAAAAGTTAGGAGACGCTCTGAAATAAAGATTCACTAAAGAAAAATGCCCTGTTGGATCATGAGAACCAACACGGCGCCCTCTCACTGCAGGATGGCGTGTTTTTAGAGTCTGTTCTGCTCTTTCAAAGAAAATAACTCACAATGACGAAACCAAAATTAGTACTATAATTTGGCCAGTATCCTTCCAAGTAACACATCTGGTGCAGAGCCCTGCTGTGTGTCTCCTCGTATTAACATAACGAGTCGTTCCGGTGTGCGTGAGACGAATAAATCTGTCCTCATCAGTGTAGTCCCCCTGAATGTAGATGGTGTGCATTACGTCATCCGCTTTCCGTCAGCAGATTTACGCCTTAGTCTTTGATTTATATCTCCATTTCTCCTGTGTTTTTTTTGCATCAGACCACATGAACAACGTACGTCTCTGAGTTTACAGAAGAGATGCACCTGATTGATGTCTGTGAGATAAGAGGTGACACCTTTCTGGCGATAAGGATCACAGCATTTGCTTGAAGGCTCCGCATCGTGTTCCTGCACAGTTTTGTGATGCACTTTGGGCCGCAGCTTTCTGAGGCTCTGCAACCACGACGTTTATATTTTTAACATACCAGGAACAAAGTGTCATCCACCCTTCCAGCGCAAAGCATGGCTGATTTCACTCCTCTCTGTGGCGTTATCTAAATGTTGCAGCTGTCGGCTTGCATTAGTGGGGAATCTCTCCAATTGACATCACAGTGTTCAGGAGTTCTACAAATCTGGAAATTGAAAGTTTTATTTAAAAAGGGGAATGGGTCGTTGAAGATGTGTGAAGCTTCCCTCTGCAAATGAGGTGCACGTACTTTTTTTTTTTTTCCAGAAGAAACTTCTGGAATGACTGTTTGCAAAAAGAGACGATGTGTTCAGGTGAAAATGATTACTACTTGTCAGAACTAATCTTCAGCCAAACACATCCCCATCTTAACCCGCAAATATATGAAGAAATGTTGTTAGGAAAAAAATAGGAAATTCCCGGCACCTCTCAAACCTCCGGCTTACCCATGTCTGGTGTCACGGTGTGTGTTTTCTGTGTTTCACGACTACTGGAGCCTCAGCACTCCAACCGGAGCCCTCTTTATATCTCCTTTTGTTTGTGTCCTCTCAGCAGGAGGCGACTCACAACAGAGAGAAGGAAGAGTATGAAAGTTACAGAGAGGACTCGGCCTCGCCAAGCGAGGACGTGATGTCATCACCCTGCGCCCAGCACAACGGCAGCTACAAGGCCCACAGCCAACTGGACAGCACCAAGTGACCGTCTCAGCCCCGCCGCCCCATCCCAGCGTCCACATGCGTGAAAAACTGAATAACCGTCACAGAATCATTCGTCTTAACATTGCTCCAATAGTTTTTCCTTCTTTTCTTCAGGCAGTACTTTTTTTTTAAGGCTTTTCTGTTGGCTGGTGGTGGTCCCCACCTGCATGCTTGCTCTGAGGGAGGACACTCGTACCACACCCAGCATCACAGCTGCTTTCCCCGGTGGCTCCATCACTGCCCCCCCCTCCCCCATGTTCCCCCTTCCCCTTCATCACTGTCTGTAAACTTTAATAAGTTAAGAGGAAACCTAAAAAAGACATTTTATTCCCCCAGATTATCAGCATTTGTCACATTGCAACACAAACCCCATTTCCTTAACTTGATAAACTCCATAACTCAGCTTTCCGAGCAGCAAGAAGCCGCACCTTAATAATCGTCTTGCTTATGAGGTGGCTGTTTCCATGCCTGTAGTCAGAGAGAACGGGGTTCAAACGGTCAGCTGCGACACCGAGAGAGGAAGAAGGCAGCTGCGAGAAAGGAAAGGAAGAAAAAAGAGCTTGGCTAATCAGCTATGTTTGTACGTGTGCAAACGCTCAAAGTCATGTCATACAGAGTTTTATCTGTAAAGCTGATCTGCTCGTAGAGTGTTTCTCTATCCTGTATTTCAGGTAAGCTTTGCCACATGTCAGATATAATGTTGCCTCAAAATGAATCATGAATCTCCCTTTTGGCCTCTAACATGCTGTGATGATGGTCCTTAAATGAGTTAGACTGTATTTTAAGATGTAAAGATTTTAGTTAAACAATCAGTTACAGATTCAAACTATTCCCCGAACACGTATACGTGCGTTTTGTTTATTTCGAAGCTCTCACTTCAACCTGTTTTGTGAAAAGCTGGCCGTCTTATTTCACGTGGTGTTTGTTGGGTGAGGTGTTTTTAACCATTTTCATTCATTCTGTGGCTCTTCTTTTTGTGCGGCTGCGACAACTTCCCTTATGTGGTTTGTTTATTTACTGACTGAAGCAGTGGTACCGAGTTAAAAATGGGAAGATGAAAGAACAAAAAATAAAGTAGCACACCCCCCACCCCCCTTCCCTCACTCACAAGCCTCCAGCTTGTTGTCATTTTCTTGAAAGTCATCTCTATAGCGACCCACATTTTTATTTCTTAAATTCGGTTTTCTTCTTGGATCTCTCCTCTGACTTTTTATGAAATATTTATTTATTTTTATTTATTTTTTAATAATTCCAACAAGAGATTAAAAAAAACTAGTATCACTGAGAAAATTGATTCTGACATCTGTTCTTTGTGTAGATGAAGGTATATTTAAACTCCCAAGGTTTGTGACTTGTTCATTTACCGTTTGACTTCCTGTTTCCACATCATCTGGGAACCGAGCTGTGCTGCAAAACCCACTCCACAGGGCCGTTGTAATTACTCTGTTGAACTTTGTTTTTTTTAATAACTTTTTTTTAATTTAGCTAATGTGAAAGCATTGCTTCCCTGTTTGTGGAGTTGTTTTTTCCCCCTATAAATATATATCTGTACCGAAGTAGCTGCAGCGGCATCACGAAGCATCACGTGTCTGGTCCTTGCTGTTGTTGTAAAGCTGTGAGAATAAAACCACTAACAAAACACGGGCCGATGCTGTACGGCTAACGTTAAAGCTGCAGGCTCGGCGTGTAGATAAGGTCAAAGGTCAGCAAACTGCTTGCAAGCACAGAAATGTCAAAAAGTGCCTAGATTATAATTGTACAGAATATCCAAGATGAATAATATGTTCTTTTAAAGTGTTGTACACAGTGTGTGGTAATTGGTAGCAGAGTAGACTAAACATTTATGGCTCATTTTGAGGTGTTTTCTTTCCCTGTAATTGTGATGTTTTTAGTGTGACGGTTTCCAAAAAAAGATGCTCCAAAGTAACTTTTTTTTTGTTTGGAGCTCATATCCTTTAATAGGTTTACTTTGAAAATGAAATTCCACTTCTGATTTTTTTTTTCGAAACTCTTTTTTTTTTTTTTACACTTTCCTGTTATTTTTAAGTTTTCCTGCCTTTTTCTTTTTTTACTTCAGTCTAACGTGGCGAGCTTCTAAGTTCACAAGGAAAAAAAACATTTCAGACACAACTGACGGTATGTGAAGAATTGTAATATATTTTCTTTGATTTCTGTATATCCACTACATGAGATGAATTCTGTATACCTGTTTGATGGGGGGGGGGGGTCAGAGGTTTGATGCTGCGTTGTGGCCTCGGTTCGGTGTACCAGTTTTGTGACCGTTTTTAAAAAGCTTGGATGTATGTACATAATCTTCCTCAGTTTGAATCTAACACATCCGATCTGTTCCCAGAAGCTCTCAATAAAGAGGCTTGTCATTCAGTTGTTCTGGCCATTTCACACATTTCTGTATTTTAGAGAGTGTAGCCCCGTCACTCATCTCTTCTTTCTACAAGAAGATGATCTGACCAGAGCAGTAGAAGTGTAAACCCTCATAAAAACGGACTACAGAACCAAGAATACATGCACAGACACTGTACTTAAAAACAGAAATGAATAAACCCAAGGTTCAAGAAGCAGGGATGAAAACTGCTTCCTATGGTGTCCGAATGTCCGATCATCTCCAAACACGAGTCACACACTGATCCGTTACACTTTTTTTGATTTGGGCATCCAAATCTCGTGTGATGGCTCTTGCAGTTTGTCCCCTGCTGAGTGATGTTGGTCATAAAATGGTGGACATCTCGCTGTCCGAGGTTGGACTCGTGCTGAATTGCCGCACATAGTTTGAGCCCAGCCGTACCAGAGGGAACTCCTCTGGTTTTCCGCCCGTGGCCGGAGGGACGACGGGATCCGCCGGTATCAGCTGCTGGAACATTTCCATCGTGGTGTAGTCACTTGGGAGTACAACGTGAGAGCTGGGGGGTGCCGTCCTGTGCGCGTCCAGGAATGTGTTTGCGGAAGCTTCAGGTGGGAGATCCCTGCTTTCGCTGGCTCTGTCCCCGTGGGTCCAGTCCCAAGTCATCTCGGAAGAATCTCCCTCATCCTCGGTGGCGCTGATAAGAGGCAGCATCGATGCCACGGATGGTGACGTTGCCGTGGGAGTCACAACTTCTTTTTCAATAATCTGAAGACTTTTTGTGTCCCAGTCTTCATTGCTTAAATTGGCAGCAGACTCCAGGAGTTCCTGAGTGGGAGATTGTAGCATCAGAAAAAGCCATTACCAACCTTTTAGGAAGTGACATGTCTGACATGGCTAAATGTAAATGAAATTCCCTGCCTGAAGATATGTGGAGGTAAAGATTTGTGTGAACCAACATAACCCCAGGTCTAGGTCTATTCCCTGGATTTTCCAAAAATGCAAGCAGTTTTTGACTTCTTCTTGTTTCACAATCGTGCATATTCTTTTGACCTTTTATCTATATGGCATCTTGTGTCTGTGTCTCCCCCAGAAATACATTTAGATGTCATGTTGGAAGATGATGGGAAATGGGGAAAAAAAAGGGATTCAGTAATGAGTCTCAAAAGCAGAGGAGGACTCCTACCAGCAGGCCGGGCCGGTCTATCTTCTGCACAGCGCTGCTGCTGGCCGGGTCGGGAACGCTTGGCCACAGGACGGTGCTCACCCTGGACATTTGTGTATAAATGGGAAAGAGTCGGTCGTTTAGGATGCAGAGACTCTCCGCGTTCATTTTGCATTCTTGAGCCCTACCTTTTGATAAATGGAGAGCCGATTATCAGCACAATAACCACAACTCCAAATGCCAAATAGAAATCCTTGGGATTAGAATGTCCTGTGCAACAAGAAAGAAAAAGAACAAAAAATTATTTAACGTACAGTTTCAGAAACTAGCACTCTTTCAGTGAGAACGAACAGTTCCTGAAAACACAACCTTTGGTGTCTGTTTTGAAGAAGACCGGGGCACTTCTCACTCCCGCTCCTGCAGAGGTGAAAGCGGACATCTGGACTTGATACGCTTGACCACTTTTCAGGCCTTCCAGTTCAAAGCTGTTAAAAGCTGGATCCACCGTTGTATCTGGAAAAGGAAGAGTCCTTTTTTTTTGTTTGCGGCACAGCTGACATGTACCAACAAAAGCTGGGCCGATCATGGCTCACCGGCAGAGCATCTAATATTTAGATAATATTTATTACTTTTGATCCTGTCTTTGAAAAACATCTTGGAAAAAGATGGCAGGCGGTTGATACTCACTGTGATCCACGCTGGTCCACCTGTGGCTGTATTCAGTGTAGTGGATTATGTAACCAAGCAGGAACCCTCGGAGTTCCTCCTCTGGGATGGACGACCACATCAGAACCACAGAGTGAGCGCTCACGTTCAGGCTGCTGACGTTTGAGGGCGCGCCGACTGGAGCTGAGGGCACATCGAGACAAAAATGGATGCTTGGGAAAGGAACGCCGATGAGGACTCTAATGCTGCCTGGCTTTGGGCTTACATCCTTCAGTGAGATAGAACTGAGTGGTCCCATATGTGCTCTCACTGTTGTTGACGTGCTTCATGTTGCAGGTCTGCTTGTTTGGCCGAGTGAGGAAAGCAATGCTGTATCTTTTGTAGGGCTCCAAAGGTTCTGGGTGTTTAAGAAAAACATACAAAAAGAGATCCTTGTTGTAGATTAGTCAGGAAAAAATAGTATGTATTCATCATGTGAAATAAAGCTCATCCACGTATGTTTTTTTCTCCAAGATTGACTTTGCAAACATACATTTTCCACTCTTGTATTTCTCTTTAGACATTAGGAGCCTGAGGGGAGACTCGGCCACCACTTCAAAAGGATATCAAACAGTTAAAAAGTACAATGAGAAAACTGTTTTAAGAATGGAATTTTGAATATTTACATACCTGGTAAAGAAGATAAAGTCCTGTAGTATTTGGTGTCCTGATAAAAAGACCTGTACAATGCAGGGTGCCCATTTTTCCACCACTCCACTGAATAGCAGACATACTTTTTGGACATGTCATCTTTCCAATGGATGGTAAACGATGAATTATTGTGGACTGTCACATTCAGCCTTCCATTGCCCACATCTGAGGAGGAAAACTTCATTCCATTTGTACTGAAGGTTTCAACCATTTCAATCGGAACAGGTGCTAATAATCTTCGTATAAGTGAAAATGGAAAGTGTGGAAGGGTGAGTGCCAAACCTGCCGTGTCCTGCCGCTGTAGCACTGTATGGCTGGCGGCTGGAGAGATGCTCACGTTGTTGTAAGCACGGATGTTGAGCCGATAAGCTGAATAGGAGAGAATCAGTCGGATTTCAGGCTCAGAGGTGTTGATGTGCTCTAACGGGGGCTCTCCAGACACCTTCCCCACGCTCACAGTGAAGCCGTCGTACATCCCTTTTGCAGAAAACTTAAAAACGGATTTCACAATGACGCCAACAGATGGGGCACCAAAGAAGGTGTGTATTTCCTTTTATAGTTTTATATATATATATATGAGGAAAACTACCTTCCAGGTTATAAAAACCATCCGGCACCCTCTTTTCTGTGGAATGTCATCATACTGGAAGTGGACAATGGCGGGCTGCACGGTGAGAGCTGGAAGACGACATCATCCACAGTGAAAAATGTATTTATTCTTTTTCAGTGACACATTCTCATTCCTACGTCCAGATGAAGCATTACCTGAGGGGACGGTGTAAACTTTGCTCCACGGGCACTGAGGGCACGAACGGCTTGTGACACATCGCACCTGAACATTGTAAACCAGTGAGGAGGTCAGGTTCTCCACTCTGTTCCCACTTTGAGAGGATATCTGTGCCTGTGAACAGCAGAAACTAGTAAATGATTCATAATAAAACATTCAAGAGCAGGTTATAGTTTGATGTCATTCAGTTGGATCGTTTAATTGAAACAAAAACTTTTTTTTTTTCTTGGAAAGACACAATGAGCTAGAATAACACACAGTTTCACACAGGAATTCAACTATAGCAAATTGAATAATGTAACAAATTTATCATGGATTTTTTATAATCTAACAATCAGTAAGTATATGATAAATTATATTCACGATTTCATTATTATTGCTGATTCTTATTATTTAGCATTATGTTACCTTTTACTCTTCACTGCACTGTAACATCCCCTTATCTAACATACATAGAGACTAGTAAAAAGAACATACAGACCTCATTCCAAGAAGAGCTTCCCAGAACTTTATATCTCACAGAGAAGCTGGTGATGTACCTCTCGTCTTCCTTTGGCCAACTCACGTTCACATGCAGCCCTCCAGAGGGGCGATGGAAGGATACATTATTTGGAGGACCACAACGCACTGAAAAGTTGCAATTAAAAAGAAATACCACACCTTCAGATCTGTTATCAATCTGTTGTCAGAAGATGAATAAAATATTTTTTTCCATACTTACGGAGGTCCACCGGCGAACCCTGAAAAATAGCTTGTGTGCACTTTGTTGTCTCCGTGTTTTCAAAGACTTTCACAGACAGGTTCCCATTCGTAGAGAACAGAGGGATTTGTTGATAGAATCCAGTGATGTTCCTGTAAATCTTGCATCGGTTTCTATATGGATGAAAAAGTAGACATTTTAAGTTAAGAATCACCTTAGAAACATAAGGGAAGAGAAAAAACTTCTGCTGCCTACTTGAATTGAGTTATTACTGTGTATTTCTTCTCTGTGGCGTTGATTCCAGGTTCCCAAGTACAATCTTTTAAACCTTTTGAATTATATTTGCGATAACAGTCTAAGTTGTGGACTCCGTCTGAAAATCAAAAGACAAAAAGGATCAGAACAATTAAAAGGAAATGAAGTGAAAGGAATGACTATGAGGTGTTTTCACTACCTGGGTGAATCCTACAGTGCTCATAATCGGCAGAAATGTCCTTTGCTTTGCAGTTTTCTGGAACATAAGTGTTAGAAAGTAGATCAATGAGTTCATGAAATGTGTAATTATTCCAAGAACTTTCACATTCTGCAAAATAACACACTGATCTCTCTTACTTTTTATCTTGTGTCAGTATTTCAAAGGGTTTTGTTGTTCGAATAAAATGATCAATGATCAACGTAAGATATTCAAGCAGTAAAAATGATGATGAACAAGCTGAAAAAAATAACATAATCCTACCTCCACTAGCTTGAATATATGAGAAGGACGTAGAGCCAGAGGCAAACATCAGAACTGGAATGTTAACATGGGTTTAGTGCAAGGTGGCGAAAAGGCTTCTCGTATTTTTCAAAAAACACATAAAAATCTATGACACTTGCTGATGTTCAACCCAAAAAGTAAACACTGTCCACGTAGAAATTGAAAAGGTCATTTGCGGTCGTCTTACCAAGGATGAGAAGATGCAAGCTGCCTCTAAACGAAGTGCATTTGGGGAATAAAAAATCCATCGTAACCCCACAGGGCAACGTGTTGCCTTCAGGTGCCTGCCTGCCTGAAACTAAATGACTGGGTTTGAGGTCATCTCACTCCACCAACGTGCTGCCATTCACAGTCGTGGTGCGCTCAGCGGCTGCCTTTCTAAAACTGAACTGGAAGGAAATATGTTTGGGGAGTTTTGAGCAAACTGTGGGGGTGGAGATTTTGATGTAGTTTAAAAGGCTCACAGGCGGGTCGAGAAACAGCGTTTCGCTACTTCTCCTTTTCACAAATAGATGTTCGCGTCAAAGGCTGCGCCCCTGCTCATTACGCATTCACTGACATCTGCAGGAGGAGCCAAACAAGAAAAAACGTCTGGAGTCTCAATGCACACATCTGGAGGAACACTTTATTGAAAAGGTCCTCCTGAAATTAGAGAAAGGTACGCTGTGACTCACAATAAGAACTGAAATTATGATGTGTCTTGTCATTTCAGGAGCTCTTGGCACTTCTTTTGCTTTCAAAGAAATGAGAGAATCTCACAACGTGCCACTTGCTGGCATGTTTTCCAGTCATGGTTAGAGCAGACCTTTGTGCCTGTTTTTTTCCGAGGAGGCTTAAGAGAATCAAAACTGATTCATAATTTGTTGTTCATGAGATGTTGTTTTGTGCAGTAAAATAAACAGAACTTTGCGATCTGTGGAACAAAGTGGACGAGTCGAAGCTCATCAACCTCTGTTTGTGGCTAATGTGTTTTTGACATTGGGGAAATAGATGAGGTACATCTCTGTATGCTTGTGTGGTGACAGAAAAGAAGCAAATGCCATGGACAGTTTTTTTATTTTTTATTTGATGAAAACAGCTCCTGCACGTACTGCAGAACTTGCAGTAAACTGATAAGTGTTGAAGAGTGACAGTGAGGTTTTGAGACCTCTTGACTAATTTAGTTGTCGCCTTTCTCTGAAATTATCCGCAGCAATCTCATAAAGGAACTAACTTCTGAAATGCTTCACTTTTACCGAAAGTCAACAGAACTTCAAATATGATTTAACACGGAAGGTTTTACCCTTTGAGCGTTACAAAATAACAGACATCAGACTTCTCGAAACTAAAAAAGTTGCCAACCACATGACCAGGTTTTAGCACAAATAAGTTGTTCCAATAAACTTTTGAAATTCCTCCATAACATTATAAAGTGCATGATATCGAGACTTTGACTAAATCATTTTGGTGGAAATCTTCTGGCCTGCATCCAGAACAGACCATCTTAAATGTCCCTTGCTTCCTCATCACACAAAACAAAAGTCAACCTCTGCTGTGATTCCATCTATGGTTCCGAGTAAGGCCGTCACTTGGGGAGGAAATTGGAAATGGCAGAAAGTCTTGGGCGTCAAAACTCACAAAATCTATTTGGGATAACGCGTCGTGCTGAGATTCACTGCCATTAAAAGACACCTAGCCTCACAGTGTCTGCAAACACTCTTTGACACAATGCAGAATTTACAGGTGAACAAACGACAGTCACACAACCCAACGAGTTAGACAGGGGAGACTTCTTCATGTTGTTTCTCAAAGGTCAGATTTGGGAGATATGTTACAGCGCTTTCAGCACTTTGACTCCAGCAATTCGCAGATACTGTGATGTGAGTTTTTTTTCTCAGAAGTGATTGCAAAATGAAAAAAACACTTTTCAAAGTATTCTTAAAGATCTCACAACAGCATTTCCCAGCCTTGCTTTTCCTGTGGAGGTTTGATTATTTGGCTACATGAGTTTGATTTGGTGTTCGGTTTGTTAATCCTGGTCCCACATTTTTGTAATCAGGCAAACTAGGTGTTTTGCAAGAACTACAAATGCCTGCACGTGTGATATGAAAGGGAGATAAAGACAGTTTCATGCGCTTTTTGTTGTAAGTTCCCCCTTCTGAGCTGAATTCTTAACGCACAGGAAGCTCACTTCACACCTCACTAGCTTGAGTGAGTGAGCCTAAAGAACGTCATTAATGCTGTTTATCTTGATCTGAATCTTAAATTGTACTCGAGCGATGTACCTTCTACACTAAAAAGTGCAAACTCTTTAGTCCTCCACGAGGCCAGTGAGTCTGGTTAAAGTGTACAAAGTCTAAACAGTTGCCAAAAAGCTAAAAAAATCCAAGGAAAATATTTCAGATTATAAAATGACATATCAAAATATCTTTTACGGGAGGCAGATTTTCCGTTTAACTGCTGCCTACCTACTCTGGTTTGTTTCAAATGTAAATTTCCCCACCTTAACGTTATCATCTTTGAGATCAGCAGTGTGCCGTAACTCGCTTGTGGGCAAAAAGAACTGAGAGTTAAAAGGCCGTGTTGGTTGTTGTCTTGGTGCCTTACTTTGATCGAACATCCTGTGAGCTTTGGTTGTTTGACTTTGAGAAGCCCCGACGATGGGTACAAGCTGTAATAGGTCATCCCACAGTAGCATTTGTGAGTGATTCATAAAAATGGTTTGCTTTAAAGGGTATGTGGATAACTTTCCATCATTCTGAATTGTAAACAGTTAAAGTTTGAAGTACGACAATAACACCACAAACACATAAAGAATTAATTGATTATTTTGATATTTGTGCTTGGGTATTTCACGTTTTGATCAAGTGAATTAACACTTTACATCCTGATCCAAGATAAAATAGTTTGTTGAAATCTTTATTTTGCCCTTTAACAAAATAAGAAAAAAAACAGAACTTATTATGGAATATTCATCAAATCAAAATTATTACAACAGGGTTTTGAGCAAAGATTTTTACCATCAATTGATGCAAAATGTCTCAGATTCAAAATATTTCAAATCTGTATGTCTCAATTATGACACATGTGGCCCTTATAGGGTTAATAGTTACGAACCCATTCACCATGATCGTGGTGCAGAAAGGTTTCATATCAATCAAGAGTGTGGGAAACATTTCAAACACCCTGGCACTCACAACACGAGGTGTAGACACTGTGGAGCTCAAATGACGAAACACAGTTTTATTACATTGTTATATCGGCATAGGTCTGTACTTTATTGCTCATTTGAGCTGGAGTGGCAGATACTTTTCAGTGGAGAGAGGTTCATCACTATATTCATTATGATGAGAAAATGCAGCTATTTGTCTTTGGATTAATGCAAATGTCAGAAGCTGAAGGGAGTTTTCATGACAACATCCAGAGCTCAGCGTAAGCAACTCTTTTCATAAGCAACAGTAAACACTACCCTCTTGTGGACAGCCTCTTTGGAAAAGCCTGCATGAGCAAGTCAACAACAGACTGTGAGAATTTAAGGATATAAAACTTTGTTTAAAGTCTATTAAGACAGATAAGAAATCATGTCCACGGATCAGCCTTGAGAAAAAGATAGCAGCACTCATTTGAAGAATCGTGGTTCATTTCTGAAGTGTCTCTGTGGAGCTCCTTTATTTACTGTTCCCCTTTTCCTCCCACTTGTTTTTCTCGAAAATCACTTAACAGTTCAAACCAGCAGGGAATTGAAGTTTTGACTGCTTTTTATAACACTAGTTTATTTAGTATGCCCAGAATTTCCTTGATAGTATTTACGGCAACCTACAGAGATATGCTCACTCAAGAATGAAACTCAAAGTACATCTGTGGCTGATGGGAGGGCCAGTTATTGTGTTGGTACTTGGCCATAAACCAGCTGCTGCTGAACCGAAAATTTAGAGAATCACGACAGTGAGAGTATTTATTTAAGGAACAGACGTGTGTGAGCCCAGTTTTCACAGCAATCCATGTACATGCTGTTTATCTATTTCAGTCCTAAAGAAATAGTGGAAAACAGCCACAAATACAATGAAGAGACATTCAAAGACTATCTGGTCTTCTTTAATGGTATGGTATTGCATGGTATGGTATGGCATGGTTTGGTATGGATGTTAAACTTGGACATTTAAAAGAGCACCAGCAGTGTTTATATTTACCTTTTACAAAGTGAGCAAAGATTTTTTTAAGGGGGTTTGTACGACCGTAAATGGGTTCACGCTGATGACAATGTCGTTTAGAACAGAAAGCACACATGCATGCCAGCAATTCACACTTTTACTGCCACTATCTGTCAATACAGATCAAAGTCTGCTGGGCTATGACTGCTCTCTCACAGTGCAAAGTGTATTTACTCGCTGGACTGTAATAGAAAGCATTAGGCAGGCGCTGTAAGAGATGGAAGCCCGGTCGAGTTAATTGCCTGTCAGTCCCAACAGTGATACTGGGAGTCGGGTCAGTATAAAGCTGCTCTCTGTCAGTGTGGTCTAAGCATGGGTGCACATGTAACAGTCCTTAAGGGCCGATCTGTGTCTGTCTGGTAACATATGGCTGAAATAAACGCATACACACTGACCTGTTAAACATGGAAACCTCTCCATTAGAATTCTGCATCACTAAAGGCCTGGCCATATTAAAGTCAGGTATAGTACTGACTTGTCTCTGTCCTTTAAGGCCTTATTTGTGACATATGGTGATTTATTTTTGTCCACTGAGCATATCAACTATAAATAAGATTATTAGAAGACAAGCTCAAATATTTGAAGCCTGCCAGACAGAACTCAGGACATGGATTGAGGCCTGACACCTGCTCTTAAAGCTTGTTAGTTCATCCTGTATTAAGATTTTTCTTGACCCGTTTATGATGTCTGTCAAATGAAGAGATTGCATGTTTAAAATTTGCTCAATAAAATGACATAGATCGTCCCTCTTTGTAATATTTGCAGATACCTGCACGAGTCTGCCCTCCAGTGGTTGATCACAGTCCCTGCTCTTGGCACACCAAACATGTTACAAACAACAGGGTTTCTTAATCAAGACTTGCCGCATACATTTTTTGGATTGCAAACTGAGTAATCTGAACGTGTACACAAACAGTTACAATTTCGACAGAGGAAAAACATCACTGAGAGACAAAGACTGAGAAAGCTTCATCACCAAGTGAGATGTATTTGAATGAATTCCCCTTTAAATGAGAAACAGGCCTGCCAATGTAAACAAAACACCCATCAGGGTCAGATGAGGGAAAGAATACGTTGCAGCATTTATGAGGGGAAAAAAAGCTACACGAACCACCTCAGACCATTAAAACTGACTCTCCCCTTAAAATGTTCAAAACAAAACACTT